AAGACGCGGAGGCAAAGCGGAGCTCCGCAACACTTGCGATGCAAAAAAATACAACATAGTGAATGAAAAAAAAACAGAAGTTAAACATATTTCTGAAAAATTATGTTAGAAAAATTACTTGAAAAAAAGTTGAAAAATTACAGCTACAAAAACAAATTTCATATTTGTATCAGATGAAGTTCATATAAATAGGCCTTGTTAAATGGAAATCATTTACCGAGCGGCAACAAAGGAGACAAATTTTGCGTCGAAATCTCTTGAGCCGAAAACAAAACTGTTGTCATAAAAAATTCAAAAAAGTTAAAAGTTTATGCCTCCCATCCGAACTGAAACACATTATCCCAAACAGATATATTTTGCTCTGAAAAACGAAAAAAACCTCAAAATCAGACACGGTAAATTTACAATTTGTGAAGTTCCAATTACATTGAATTGGAACAAAAGTCATGCTTTAAAATTGAAATTAATAAAAACCCTACCAGATACAAAAATGGCGTTGAAAAAACGGAAAATGAACCGAAGAAACTAGGACGAAAACCCCGAATACGAAAAAAAAAATTGTAAAATTTCTTGAAAAAATAATTTCTACCTGAAACGGGTTTGAACTAATTACTACTTAAGTATTTTTTAGAGGAGTATATTACTCAAGAAGTGAAGATCCTCTAGAAGTGCAGATCTTGTGGACAAAGTTGTTTACGGGGAAAAAATTTAGTACCCGATTACAATACCCTTGCTTATAGCAAGGGTAATAAGATAAACCTGATTTTAACCTGTTGCGGAATCCGCTTACAGTTCACAAACGCGAAAAATTGGATTTCGACCTGTTGCAGAATTCGCTTACAATTCACAAAATGCACAGTTTGCCCTCATAATGGAGCAAATAAAAGATCAAAAAATAAAAATCAAAAACTTTCATTTTTTCCATCTTTTCTATTCGTTGTACGGTATCTATAGCAATCTACCATTCTCGTTTTTTGACATGTAAATTTGTCACATTTTTAGACATGTAATTTAGTCGCCAACCAATTAGTCGCAAACCAATGCAAATTAACTTTTCTCGACACTTAAAACATCAGTTTTTTTTTCAAGTATCCAAAACAAGACGGAAAGGGCCCTTGTACGATACAATCTTTGACCCTTTGCGAGCTTTCAAAACTGGGGAAGAAAGAAAAAACAAGCTACACCATAGTTTGTTCCCATCCCTAGAACGGGTCGAAACAGAAATATAATTTCTCGACTCAAGAGAAGATTCTCAATTTTTTACATTACCGCTCACTTTATTCATTATATAAATAGCCAGTATAAGGGTTGTTCCTCGTTTTAGAGTACCACAACTGTGCCTACAATGGTTTTTTTTTATACCTACCCGAAAGCAATAACTATAAATCGTTTTAAGTTGATAATTTTTTTTAGCCGTGTTGGTGGTTCTCCTGGCCGTCATGAAATCTTTCATTCACGCTCGTGAGTACTTTTATAAGCTCATGAGTACTTTTAAGTTCAAGCATTTGAAGGACTACTTGGATTTGCACATTTTTGTATTTTAATGTTGTTTGTATAACTTTAGTCGACAACAAGTTACTTCGTTACTTCTTTTCCCATGAGTTTTAGCACCCGAATGGACTCCTGTATTGATTGTGTTTATCAAAATGGCCGAACTGTACACCATGCTAGAGTTTCTGGTCCTGTTTGCCGAATTTGTCCTTTTGATCTTGTTCACAAGTGTGTGCTGCTGGGCCGTGTTCTCTATATATCTACAGAAAAGGTTACTTTTATGGATCCAGTTAAATAATAGCCTTGGAATCAGACTGTTATACATGCTCATTCGTTCTTCGGAACGACGTCGCTTAAAATGTCGTAGATACAGTTCTACATTTCCTTTTTATTCAACCACGTTCCTTTCTGATAATAAAAATAAATTTTCACACCCTCGGCGCCAAATTTTACGGCGGTTTCCTTTGAAGGCAAAGTTTTTTCATCAAATCACCTTTTATTGCTAATTTTTGCCGTTTTGTGTTCCTATTTTCTACTCAAAAGCAGCTGAAATGCAAAGCAAAATTTTAGAACGGAAGTTGAAGTTTTTTTTTAATTAGTTATACACGCTTGAAAAATATGGATACAATGGTGTTGCAATCTGCTATAGAATAAGCAATGCGTTTCGACATTTTTAATTAAAATTCATATGTTTTTTGTCATTTAGATCTGATGCGAAGCTGGCTGAAGCGAGGGCCAAGAAGATCAGTTCAAACAGTGTTGGAGATCCTATTGGATTCCAGAGACGCCGCAAGGGATCCGTGCCGTCCTTGCCCTGTCAAGGGCACAGTCTCATGGCCAGCTCCTCTTCAAGTAGAGACACGCATAGCAACGTCTGCTTTGGTCGGTACAAAACTTGGCTATCTGTTGCGATCAGCAAGCTTTATCAAATCGGGACATCGACTTTTTCCGTTCCGAAAAGCAACTTTTGTTGATAGCTTTCCTTTATTATCAATTCAAATTCAATTTATTTCTAAAATTATATATAAAAAGATTGGAATCTCTCCCCCCATTGTTACCAAAATGCCACTCTTAAAAAAGTACTAAATCAGCGGTTCATCATATGTGAATTTTGTATAAAGTAACGAATCTTTCCCCTTGCAAACTGCAGGCGAAGATTATTTCCCAACAGAAACATTCCCAATGTTTAGCCTTCAAAAATATCATTAAATTCCCTTTATAAGGTGGAATAAATTTTTGAATATGTTAGGACTGAAAATAAGCGAGAGCCAAAAGGTGACTCGTAACTTTTTTTGACAGAACTTTGTTGATATAACCCGGAGGTTAAAAAATGCAAGCTTTTTGATATACATTAACAAATAAACAAACAAGATTAGGTCAATCCAGGCTGGCTTCGGGTTAATTAAGGGTTGCTGTAGAGTTTTCGAGGACGGCTATAACAAAAAATTTGCTAAATAGTTGAAAGTATTTCGAAACTTCTTCAATGCGATTGAGCGTTTTATTGATTAAAACAATTTTTGAACATTTTTGAACATCTTCGAAAAAATTGTACAAACGTCTTGAGACAAAAATACCAGATGCATCAAAACACTGTGACTATAATCAGATTGCAAAAGCCGAGAAGTAGAGATCAAAATCAATTTTTCTTTCAGCTATTGTCCACGAGGACATCAAAACTGGTAACAGCTCCAGAGCCAGCTCCATTCCTCATTGGAGCGCCATAATGACAACAAATAACCCAATCGGAGGTCGCCAACAATCATCGGACTCCTCGCTACCCAATCTGAAGGCTACCGACGAGTCGATTATCCGGTTAGGTAGCCCACAAAAAGAAGAAGTTATTCTGCCAATTGAGCAGGTCCTTGAAGGTCGCCACGAATACAAGCATGGATCACTAATGGGAAGAATGTGTCAGAAGCCATTCACCAAGAAGAACTCCGCTTCGCCGAACATGGTGGCGCCAAGCAGAGATGATTTCAATTTGGAATCGGCTAGGATTGACAGACACCTGAGCAGCTCGACTAACAAAATCAATACCAAGGTCAGTATAAAAAAGCTTAGACTAGAAAACTTGACTTTGCAAAATGAACCAACGTCTCAGTATAATTTTGCCAGTGATTTTGTCATGGTTTTTTTAAGTAAAATGGGAAAATGGGAAAAATACATCTCGAGATGTTGAATAAAAAGATTGCATTAATTTCGCGCTTGCATTTCTTATTTCCTCTTGTAAAAATTTACAAATCTTTGGAGATAATACTTAAAATAGTTTGAGTTTTCCATCCAAAACCAACCGCTTGTCATTAGAAATCCTCAAAACATAATAAAAATATACTATAGAAATAAATGGTTAACTTAATTGTTGAAAAGGCAACTTGCTCCAGTAAACCAAGTAAACACGAAGGAAAAGATGACTTTGTAACTTTACTGCAATTAGATACTTCAGTTTTTGAAAAAAAAAGTTTCGGAAAATTCTCAAAATGTTTTTCTTGTTTTTTCACATTTTTTTTTCCACATCTCTTCAGACTTCAAATGTATACATATATGTACGCTCCGGCTAAACTTCAGCTGACATTTCAGGAATTTTTTAGGGTATTTATTAATTTAAAACAAACTTAACGGTGTTAGGTATGCTGGACCTTTAGTTAAAGCATGCGCGTAAGTCTATATGAATATTTAAATAACTAGCTTGCACTAGAATTTAAAAAAAACATCATAAAAATTGTCAATTGAAGTAACTTGGCGGGCATCAAACATTTGACAAAAAAATTTAGGCATGTTGAAGTGAGAAGTTGTTTTGAAGTAAATTGAGCGATGCAATTGGGTGTTTATCTATAATTCAATTGCTAAAATAAAAAAAGCGTAAAGAATCTGTAAAACTAACTATACATCACGGCCCGAAACTATGGATTTTAGGAAGTGCGAGCCAATTCCGCACTCAGACAACTCTCAGTTTTTGTGTTTCTTTTACTCAAACTGACAAAGTTTCACCATCTTTAAAGTCATGCATCTGGATTCCAGTGACTTACAGGCACCAAAATCTGCGCCTATTGAGTCTACAGTTTGGTCTTTTAATGTATAAAACTGTTTTTAACTAATTTTTAGTTATGCAAAAGTTTTCTACATAACTCAATTTGTCGATTCAATTGACACCAGGAGTTTTGTATAAGTTTTTTCATGCTTCTTTAAGAACTGGCACAGAAAACTAAATCCAATTTTGTTAAGATACTGTCATAGTGATTAATTTAGTTCACAGTCAATTTTAGTTTTATCTTATTTATTGCAAGCTATTTAATCTATCTCTCTGACACTAACTGGTATTTAACCTTCGGAGTTAACTATCACCTTTGGTTGACCTCTGTTTCATTATGTCCGACTAACTTTCTAACCTTCTGAATTATACTTTACATCTTCCGCTCTTAATTTACACTATCAAACCTCTCTCTCTCTCTCTTGACATGGTGCAGCCAGCAAGCTAAAGTGTGGGAAAAACCCACTAGAAGTTACGTCGTTCTGGCCCCCTAAAATCGCAGAGCCACCAATACTATGGGAGTTTTGGTTAAATCGGTTTTAATGGGGCATGGTGGCAAAACATAGTATTAACCCGAAAATTTTCTCCTATGCGGCTACGATAAAAACCGCTCAAACTACGGTCCTACCAGAGGACTTCGATGGAAAAATTGATTGGAACGGAGCAAATGCTGATATCGAACTTATAACTGTGCTTGGGGAGAAAGGACAGGATAAATTCCACAGGCGAAAACCGCACTTGGACTTGACTTCGAAACGGTACCCGAGAGTCATTGATACTTTGGAAACGTAGTTCAAGAAAGAACGCAATGAGATTTTTTAGCTGTTGGAAAAGAAGCAACACATTGGGGAGTCATTCAAACAGTTCCATTCGGTCTTAGTGGACAGGCAGCACGCTGCAATTTCGGAGCGTTGGAGACCAGAATTTTATGAGACGTGTTCATCGTAAGCATGAACAACAGAGAGGCCCAAAACGAACTGTGCCGGTCGACAAAAACACCAGAGGAGGTCTATCGTATAATATTTTCTTACAACAAATAGTAGAGACAAATACGTAAAAAACTTACGTGTCAATAACAGGGAGAACGACACCGAACGGCGCCACCGGCAATGGTTATGCAGCGGACGGGGGACAAAATTCTCAACAGGTACAGGCCATTAACATCCAAAATAGTAAATGAAACTGAACATACTATTAAAATGAGTAAAGGTGCTGTTCTTAGAAAATCAAGAGTGACGATGAGTAAAATTACGACCCCTAAAAAACGAGCACCCGGAGCGGTACGAGCCCGCCGACACCACAGGAGGTCAAACGTAAAATGATGACCAATCAGCCATCTAGTTCCAGAGGCACACAACCTAGTTCCAAAGGCACACAAGCGAAACGAAGCCAAAACACGGAGGGCGATGACTACCCGGACTCGGATGAGGACGATGACACGCCACTGGCGGCGAAACGCATGCTTGGTCGAGCAGCACCAGCATTGGAGGCGAGCAGTTCACCGGAGGATGTACGACCAACCACCGGATTGCAGGCCGAGTTGGGGGAGCAAGCCACGACGAGTGCAAAACGCCCGATGGGGACGACGATCCGACCGAGCGACTACGAAACGACGACGGCGTACACGTTTGCGCGAGAGACAGAGATTGAGAAGAACCGGCAAGGCGACGACACCCAACCCGTGGCAGCGGCGGAACCGGATATTCCACTGGCAGGGACCAAGAAACGATTGCAGAAACAACGGCTTTTTTATACTCTAGCCAAGAGTCGACAAGACAAAACGACGAAACAAGTTTCGTACTCTAGCCAAGAGTTCGCAGGACGAAACGACTTCAAAACGTTCAGGGAGTTAAAAAAAATGGCGGCTGCCATGATTGACCATATTCAAAAAACAGAAGGCGCAGAAAAAATAGAGAAAAAGCAAGATACTAGAGGAGAAGAAACTGCTTATGTAGTCCAAGGATAGGGCATGCCGTAAAGCGGTCAAAAACTCAACATTTCGGTTACACATTCGAGTTATATTTTGTCGATATCAAAACCTAAAACTCCAGCTAAAACTTTTTGCTTAACTCTACATATCATCAAGTACTCTAAATTTCATAACTTTCATCCTCTCGCAAGAAGGGGAATTTCATAGTGATTAAATTAGTTCACAGTCCATTTTTGTTCTATCTTACTTATTGCAAAATATTTAATCTTTCTGTCTGGCGCTAACTGATATTTAACCTTCAGAGTTGTCTGTCACCTTGGGTTGACCTCTGTTTCATTGTCTCCGACTAACTTTCTGAATTACAGTTTATATCTTCCGTTCTTAATTTACACTTTCCAAACCTCTCTCTTGACAATACAAACCGAAAAATATCAAAAGAAGTTTCAATTTCTTTTTTCAAATTTTAAGTTTATTTGTCGTTTTGTCGCTGTGTAAAACCTAGCTAAGGGATAACTTTCTTTGGTTTTATCATAAACAAAATTTTCAAAATAAACTTGAGGCAAAAACATATTGCGCGGAGAAAATTTTTTTGTTTGCAGTTAAGTTTTCAGGTTTAGTTCAGGAAAAGCTGCCAAGATGATTCAACAGTAAATCTCTACAATTTTTTTTGAAAAACTTTTCAAGAAAATTTTTATGACATTCAAAATTTTTTTTGGTCCTCAATGTAAACTGATTGTGATATGCTTCGATGAAATGAAGTCGCGATATTTCGCCAAGCACAATGAATTCGCGCTACTCTTTCAGCAACATTTATAAAATCTCTACAATTTTGCGCATAAATTACTCCTGAGCATGAACAAATTGACAGTTTCCTCAGAACTGAAACTTCATCGAAGGTAAATATATTTGGGAAGAACTTGAAATCAAGAAATCGATTTTTTCAATGAGGTAAAAAAAACAAGTTTAATAAAATTTATAATTTCGATTGCCGAATTTGATCGCCGAATTTGATTTTCAAATTCGATCGCCGAATTTGAAAATCAAAAGGAAGCCACATCAAGCATACTTATGCTGTAGCTTTTTTTGAAATTTGGAACAATTTATCCAAGAATTTGCCATTTCAAAATTTGAAAGACGAGCACTCTAAAATCTGATCCTTACGATGCAAAGACGGGTCTTGAGATGTATTCAACTCAACGCAACTCAAATAGAATATCCCATGGCTGGTCGATTTTTAAAAAAATAGCGCTTAAAACATCTATTTTCAATGCGAACTTGGAATCTTGTTAAGTATCCCCCCCCCCCCCCACTTATGGTACCTAGTAAAAAATTGTCACGCTTATAAAGAACTAACTCTGGTTACGCATACTTGTATTTTGTGATGAATCTTTCTCGCCAAATTTTGCAAAAGTGGGAATAGTTAACAAGATCCATAAATTGCTCATATGCCATTTCTTGTCTGTGGAATAAAAACCGCATAACCAAAACAACTTGGCTTTTTTTTGAAATCAGCCTAGTAGTTGGTACTTTACCTCGAAGTGGGTAATTTTTCGGCTCACCGTACATTTTTATTTTCACGCAAACTTATCAGTTTGGAAAAGTTTTTTATTTTGATATATTGGATAATGTAAATTATCCTCCGCTATTGCAAAACCAAAATGATATATACCTTTATCTGATTGATTTAAAGCTGATTTGAATTTTACTTGATCCCTATCTCGGAAATTCCTTAAATTTTTAATGAAACATGCAACTGATCAATTTCGTTTAGTTTAAGTATTGAATGAAGTCCTTTACTATTTACATTTAAAAACGGACTTTGCCGAAAAGTATACATTTTTAAAAAAAGAAAAAAAAAGTTCATGATAAAGGTTTCTGTTGGCAATTAAAACAACATCCAACTCCGAAACTTTCTCAAAAAATTTTAAAATGGCCCACGGTGAATTAACAGTATGAGGAAGCTTAATTAAACAAACTGTATACTAACGCCACAATTAAAAATAAAATTTTAATTAGTTTTTTTAAATTTAATTGCTTTTTTCTCATTTATTCCAGTTACATCGAAGTTTTTGCCGCACAGTTT